TGTGTGTGTGTGTGTGTGTGTGTGTGCGTGTGCGTGTGCGTGTGTGTGTTCACTGTATGTGTCTCCAGCTGAGAAACCAGGTCAAGTGTCTGTTCCTCAGATGAATGAACAAACCTCCTCCTCTATCCTTCTTCTCTCTGTTCTCCTCATCCACCAAACCAGTGTTAAGAAGTGAGTCTGTGTTCATATTTTCATTTTTCATTCTCGGCTCTGTTTTATTTTAGAACAGAAGATATGCACTGATTATGAAGTTCCAGTAACTGCTTTACATCTGAATAGAAAAGGACTGACAGACTTGAGAATGTGAAGATTTTGTGTGTTTGACGGTTCCGACTCAGTTTTCAGGTTATACTTGGGTTTAGATGACCGCGAGGGTAAAGGTCAGGAGAACGTATTTAGTTCTGATGGTTAAGGTTAGATCACAGGGCAAGAGAACACATTACGTCAGAGAGGGTCCTCACGAATATATGAAGACTGCCATGTGGTATATAAGGTGTGTGTGTGTGTGTGTGTGTGTGTGTGTGTGTGTGTGTGTGTGTGTGTGTGTGTGTGTGTGTGTGCGTGCGCGTGTTGTCTCCAGGGCCTCTGTGTTCCTGTGTGTCAGAACACAGCTGGTGAAGCAGTTCGTCCCATAACGCCTTCGGTACAGTCTCACACACACACACACACACACACACACACACTGTTACTGTGTGTGTGTGTGTGATCAGCTCACATCTGCACGATCGCACCAATAATGTCTGTGAATTGTGCGACTGTAAAACGCTCAGATCAACAATCAAGATCATCAAATCTTCTATATCTTTGATTTTAATGGTGATTTCCTAATAAAAGCTCCTTCAACACTCCAGCTGCTGCTCGGCTTGAAGACGGTGGTTCTGAGTTAACAGATGATGTTATATTGATTATCATCAGCCTGGTTTGAGGGGGGGGGTCTCTGCAGGGGTCAGGGCACAGGGGGCATTAAGACGGAGCGGACAGGGGTGTGTTTGGTTTAACATGTCACTGCCAGATGCTTCTGAAATCCCACGTGGAGACACGAGAATCTGGTTTAGCTCATAAATGGAGCTTTGGTCTGGTTTCATATCGACAGGAGCTGATAGTCATATCTGAGGATGACTGTGTGTGTGTGTGTGTGTTAATCACTTACAGACAGGCTGGTTTTTGTGTATTTGTACTCTCCTAAAAGTGTACCTAACTAGTTTCCAACCATCTGTTAGAATGAGTGTTTTAAACATGTGTCCATCTCAGATAGATCAGTAACTCATCCAGGTCAAATCACCAGTTTCAAAGGATTCTTTGTCTAATTAAAAGTCGTCTGTTGCAGCCTGATCGGCCCAAACCTGAGTAATAGAGACTGAAAATCAATTAAACATTAAACATTGTGGGAGAAATATGAAAATCAAATTGTTACAGAGGATAAGTCGAGACGAGTTTGTTTGACAGATGTTTTATAAGAAGTCAATGGATAAGTTTTAATCATTTTATACATAAAACAATTAAACTCAGGAACCAGACAGACTCAGTAAACTTTTAGTCTGTGAGCTTCTTTATTCAATGATCTGTAGCCAACAATCACTTCATTCATTGATGTAATGTACAGGGTTGTGATTACTTGTTTTGTGTTCATGTCCACAGTGAGTATGAGTGTGTGTCTGTCTGTCTGTCTGTGTGTGTGTGTGTGTGTGTGTGTGTGTGTGTGTGTGTGTGTGTGTGTGTGTGTGTAGTCCTCAGTTCCACTCTCATGTTTCGCTCTTGATGGTCAGCAGTGTCAGCGCTGGGCAGCGCTCCCTGTCTCCTCTTCATCTCTCTCCTCCTCCTCTTACATCACTCCGTCCCCTGCTCACCTCCCTCTCTGTCCCTGTCCTCTCTCCTCTTCCTCCTCTCTCCTCTTCCTCCTCCCCCTGGGATCGTCCTCACCGCAGCAGTTGAGGCGTTCGATAGAAGCTTTTAGTTTACATCTGCAGCACACAGGAGCTGACCTGACACCACGACCCGCCGCCTCTCAGTTTACTGTTTACCGGAACCAGTGACACTAAGCTGCTATTTGCTGTGGTTAGCACATAGTGTGTGTGTGTGTGTGTGTGTGTGTGTGTGTGTGTGTGTGGACTTTTTGTCTTTACCCCAAAAACTGCACAAAATCAACCAAGCGATAATTTTCCGTCTTGGATCAAAACTCAAATAGTTAAATATCAACATTCACTGATCATTTATGGCTTTTGTCAAAAGATTCATACTATT